GATCGTTGTCTTCCAGTTAAAAGGCTTTATAACGGGGGGGGGGGGGGGGCATTTTTGTCATAGATTTAAAGCACCTGTATTGTATTACTTCACCAACATATGGACACTGATTGTATTGCCAACATATCGACACTGATATTTTACCTTACCTATTCTTCCAGTGACAACTGTAAAATTTTGGATTACACATCATCATCATCTGCTGTAAATTCATCCAGAGGAAAGTCCACCTTACTTATAGGTCCCAAACTACACAAAAGCTTATGACTCACAAACCAAAATAAACAAATATGAAAAATATCTTGGCCCAGCTGCCAATGCTTTCTGTAGGTGTGGTGGACATTGTGATACCTCGCAAAAAAGTTGAAACTAGAAAGCCCACAAGAATGCACTCCAGAAAATGGCTTAATTGCATTCTTACGTGATTTTTTATTTTCACCTCTCCTGAGAGGCACAGTGACATCGCTCACTTTTCTGGGGAGTTTTGGAAGCTGGGCCAAAGTAAGTATTTTTTTTATATAAACTTTGTTTTTTACTCATTTGCATTTAGGGGTTGGGGATTTTCATATCTTTCATTTTTATGAAAAGCTGCTTTAATAACAAAGGAAGGATGGAAAAGAGGTCCTACAAGTGTCAAGAATAATTAACATAAAACACACTTTTCTTCCATATTTGCATATTTATTTTTTGAGCTATGCATCCTATCCTGAAATTTTTTGTCTGAGTTTCACCTACTGTTTTCAGTCAAAAGATCTATAAACTACTGTAATTCCTTTACCTGTCTGTGAAGAGACAGACATATTTAGAATTACTATCCATGTATCACTACATATGCTGAGTTTTGGCAGATACATTTGAGAACAACCAATCTTGTGTGATAAAACATGGCTATGTGGCTGCTGTCTCCCTATGACAACTGTTTTCTTTTATAGTGCTTAAATGATGAGAAAGCACAAGCATGATATGAAACATAGAGAATGCTGAAAACATTTTAGATACAAATGGTGACAAGTGTCAGAGATGGTTTATTAATGAATGCTTCTGATACAGAAATACATGTAAATTCAGTGCTGTTAGTCAGACATCATACTAAATTAACACAAAAAAGGGGAAACATAAAAACCTCAAGTTTGTACCCATTTCAATAAAACAATTCTCTTACATTTTCGGATATGAACAATGCAATATAGGAACTCTTTGAATATATCAAATAATCCTAAATCCAAGATAAATTCTATGTATAGAAAAACTAATGTTAGTCATTCAGAGGATTCTAGTCTTAACTTTCAGGCAATTGGGTGGATCAGTTTCAAGAATACTAAATATATCCTTCAGAAATGTGACAAAAGTGCCCATAAAACCTTGCATCCAGCAAAACGGGAGGTAAAATTGAAAGAAGTCAAGAAAAAAAAAACTGTAGTGGGGTCACAGATAGCCTTGAAATGTCCGGGTCTCTTAAAAAAAAAGCCAACCTGTAAATGAAGAGTACTAGTACCTGGTTTCACTCACCAGCCACTGTCAGGTATGCAGGGATGCATAATGTATGTAGTAGTGTAGAGGCTGATAATGTGGGTGAAACCACATCAAGCAGTGGGGGTTACAGATATCTAGCACACCCACAAATGTTGCACAAAGTAAGAAAGTATAACCTATTTTTATTAGAAAATGTATATTTATAAATAAAAAAGGTTTGCTTTTAGAATTGTTTTAACTTTTTTTACTTACAATAACAAAAGAATACATATATTGTTTTTAGAACTAACAAAGCTTTCTTTTGTTGATTTTGTATGACATTTGCCACAGGGTCTGTTTGCATTCCATTGCCATGGAAATACAGAAGCTTAAGGGCAATGTCTTTTTCCTCTAATGATGATGTATACCCCCCCCCCCCCTTCACACTGTGTATGCCCACAGTCAGGTATCTGCATCACTGTTAGGAAAATCAGAGGTTCGGAATTTCATGAAAGATGTTACCAAGAAACAGAAATACACAGCTAGACATGATTTCATGAAAACTAGATTACAGGGTCATTAATTACTTGAGCTCTGGAAGTTTTTACCCCCTTCATGACTAGAGCTATTCAGCGCTGCGCTACCTTAACTATTCATGCAACACTCTAAGCAAATTTATATAATTTTTTACATAATTAGAGATTTCTTTTGGTGGTGTGTTGTTTCTCAAACGAGAAAGAAAGATAAAATAACAATAGTGTGAGATCCTCATAATATTTCCTGGTCTACTCCTCGTTATGACAAAGGAAGAGTGTCCCTTTCAAACATGTTACCCCGCCCCCCTTTCACCACCCACTCTTCCCAGTATCATGTAGGGATCACCACAAGGCAGTGCATAGCACTGCAGGATGCTGGGCTTTGCCTGTCTTTTGACAGCTGTCAGAACAGATCCTTCTCATGCCAGCTTGAGATATACCAACTACCACTGCATACATACAAACTGACTGTGTCCACATCTTATCCTTATGCTAATGTCAAGAGTTTTAGATGTAAATGTACTACGTTTTTTTAACTCAAATAAATTTAATTATTATGCTAATGAGGATCCTGTTCTTTTATCTTTTGAGTTTCTCTGATCTTCCCGAATCTACCTCCAAAAATTGCAGGATTCTTTGCTGCATGACCATTGGTCAACACTGGATGTGAACCATATTGGTATTTCTGATAGATGTCTGTGAAGGTTGGGACTTCCAGTGTGCTGTCAGGTCTGTGTATGATTTGTGGTGGTGTTTGACCACCACTGGGTTTTTTTTTATTTTTTATTATAAAAATGAAAAAGAATCAAGAATTTTGAGAAAAGCAAACAAACAATATTGTCTACTTTCTGTTATAAAAAATGTCCAATAAAATCAAATTTTGTCATAAATTTAGGCTAGAATGTATTCTGCTACACGCCTGGCAAAAAGTCCCAATAAGTGTATATTAACTGGTTTGTGTGAAAGTTATAGTGTTTAAAAAATTATGGTATATCCAGTATACTGGAATTTATGCAGCTTTTACTTTCTGATTGCCTATCACATGTCTTGAGGTGCTAAAATGCCAGGGTAGTACAAACACCCCCAAAATTACCATTTTTGAAAAGTAGACACTCAAGGTATTTGTGTACAAATAAAACTTCAGTGCAACAAATAACTCCTCAAATTCCTGTGTATACCAGTGCTGCTGACACTTACATGCGTTTCCACGCTCAAAAGATATGTCATAAAATAGTGTTGCGCATATATCTCTATAACCTCATATATGCAACAATGGTGAATAGATTGAATGCATTCACCGTATTTGCTGAGAAGCATGTTGAGTCCATGGAAGATTGTATTTTTTACCACAGGTTTTTAGAAAATGACAAAAAAATAAAATTATTATTTTTTTTTTTAAACCAAGTTGTCACTTTAATTAGACATTTCTCACACATACCATGGGTATATGTGAAATTACACCCCAAAACCCATTCTTCTACTTCTTCCGAGTATGGGGATACCACATGTGTGAAACTTTTTGAGAGCCTAGCCGCATAATTGCATCTAGATTTTTTTGGGGGTGTCACAGCATCTTGATACAAAAGAGCTGTGATGATCGCTTCCTGAAATTTTAGGAAGGATCAAGTTCTTCTAGTTGTTTGGTAAATTACATAAGCTCTATATAGAGCCAATTGAAATAAATATATAGACACTTTTTGTATTCGTGTCTAGCTCTGTGGGATGCTAAATACAGCTTCATCATTTGATCATTGAAGACTGCTCCTCCCGTGTAAAGAATAAGTCGTGGATACAGAGAGGCTTTCCAATGACACCAGATGCCATGCTAATGTGGACTGTTGTGTCTGGGTGAAAAGAAGACCAGATGAATATATCCCATTTGCCCTTTCACTTCACTGCGGGTAGTTCACCACTGTGCAAGCAGGCTTTCTCCCCCTTTCTAAGTCGGGTGCTAATGAGCTGTTTGGGGAAGCCCTTGCTACTGGGTCACATAGTGACCCAGTAGCCATTTTTTTTAAGGAACAAATGAAGAAAAAGTGACATGCTTGTGTAATAGTTGTCCACTTTCAAAGGGTACCTCTTAAGGAACAAAGGTGACACCAAGTCCCTTACACTGCTCCCCATGTAGTCTGGGCATCTGGAGGGCTCCAACTGCATGTCTTTTTCCTTGTAAATTCTAAAATGATGTGTATAGCCTGCTGTCCTCTCACAGAGTTTACACAGTTTGACCCCATATCTTTCTTTCTGGGGAGATATTCCCTAATTGCAAGCCTTCCAGTAAAATGTACTAGGGACTCGTTGGAGTGTATACACAACTGTCAATTTTTAGGAAATGTAATTTATGAGGGGCCGATTTTGTGGAGCCTATCATAGTCAGAGTCAACCCAAAGATGAGGGTATTGTCATTGAAATGCATGAAACACAATATATGCTCATATCTGTGCCTGGCCATTGCAGAAGAGAACAAGAGCATATAATAAATCAGGTCTCTGGACTAATATGACTGCAATTCATTCTATTTTGCAATACCCATGTTAAGGGTTAGGCCCAAAAAAGTTTTAAATTCAGAAACCGTGACAGGTTTCCACTCAAAAGGCCTAGCAAGGTATGATTTTTGGTTGGTGGTGATTTATTGTAGGGCATAAACATTAGTTTGGTCCACAATCAAATTGTAAAGGTCTTTGGTGAAAAAAGTAAAAAAAAAAAAATCAAGGGGCATTGTTGGACACTATGGCCTCTATGAGCCTTTGCTTTAATTCTTGGTGGCTGCGGTTACATGACTCTATTAGTGCTAGCCACCTCACCAGCTTGTACTACACTTCTGGCGTATGACATATCACCATGATATACTGCAGTGCTGGTACCTAAAAGGCAAGGATGTACTAGGCTTTAGCAGGGACCTGTTCTCCATCATCTAAGCTACCTGTCAGGGTGCCACTGCTTTGTACAGTTTCATATCCTGAGTTGGATTCTGTCTGTGAGTCTTCCCCTTTGCTCTCATTTAAAGTATTACTAAACCCACAACATTGAAATCAGTCTGTATAAGCAGTAAAGCATGCTTGTTACACTGACTGTGGAACCTAAGGGGTTAATCCTCTGCGTTGTGAAAATATGCTGTTTGATCCCGACTTCTCAGTTTCTCCCTTTTTTCAGTGTTCCCCTCTTATCTCCTGATAAGACATATTGGTGTGTATTGAGAGGTTTATTTTCCTTGGGAGAGTGTATGTAATCAGCACAGGGCCAATCGGCACTGTCCAGACAGAGGTCAGGGTTTCTGCATCCTCCTAGAGTAAAATGAAAACTCCTCCTACAAGCGCACTTCCGGTTGGCTGTCCTGATGCCCCGCGTCATTTCCGGTGAGTGGAACGTACGCTGAGTGGTGCGTTCCAAGCGGCCATCTTGCTTACTGTGAATAGTGCATTCTGTGCCCTGTCATCCTGCTGTTGGATCAGGCTGTGAGGTCTCGGTTTTAAAGGAATGTGGAATCTGTGTATCTGTGGAAGCTTCAAAAGGCTATAATAAATGCTGTTTATGATCATGGAAAATGTGAATGGTCTGGCAAAAGGTTTTTAAACTTATTACAGAGTTGTAGCAGTATTACACTATTGGAATTTTTTTCCCTGCATTGCTGTGGAGCAGGTGAGAGGAGCGAGTGAAGGATTATCTACCATCTTGGGTGGAAGAAATCTTGGAGGTCTTAAAGGGTGTCTAGGAGCCCATAATAATCCTAAAAGGCGCAATACTCACCAATATCTGGTGAGTGCGGTGTATGTTGGTTGTCTCACTGGTGGATGGTGGAAGGATCACTATTGGCACTGGGAAGAAAAGATTTTTGTTTCTATTTTTATTTTTATGTTTCACTTGGACTTTTTAGTTGCTTTGGACACTATATTATTATATCACATCATTATTTAACTATCTAATTAATTCATATATTAATTTTTTTCACCATATATTATTATTTTTTCAATATTAATTTAGAAGTTAATTTTTGTATATGTACTGAGGTGGTGTTTTGCGCTGTCTATTGCATTTTTTGATTGTGGTTGGTACACCTGTGTGCAGCAACAATTCATAACCCTGGTATATTATTGTTTTTTTCTCTGAAGGGGTGGTCCTGTGCGCTGGGGTTTGTCTTTGTATAAGCTTTAACATGTGCTCGGCTGGACACTGATAGAAGTCACAAGACTGCTCTAACTGCTGATGAGAAAAGGTATTTAGCAGTTTATATTTACTAAAATAATTGCACTTCCATGTTCTGTGTACTGTGGGAGACCAGATATAGTGAATGCAGGATCCTGGATTTAGTAACACTTTAACATCCTCAGAATCCTGTAGGCCTCTTCACTGGTGTACCTTTTATAGGACATTTTGGGCGTTAAACTTATAGGTATCTACTGGCAACAATGGGAAAAAGAGGTCATGGCTAGCAATTAGAGACTGCTTGTGCGATAGATATAAAACTGCTAGTGCTAACAGAGATCAGGTCAGATCCTGCTAATGCTGAGGTTTTGTGTACAAGGTATCAGTGGTGGCAGTGATCACAAAAAGTATACTGACACTTAATTTGTCGGAAGCGACAGACTAAATGCAAGTCCTTGCAATGATCAGAGCTGATCCTGCTTACGCTACTTTTTGTTGGGTCACTATACTAATAGGGACACTAGTAATGTTCTGATCATGATCAAAATATTGATCCGTTCAGACACTATACTAGTAATGGCGGTTATTGGCAACTTACAGTGTGACTGCGATAATGTGTGGACAATCTAGTGCTAACTGTCCCTTGCTGGAAGGATGCTAACTGACCCTGCCTCTATCTGATTGTATTTGATGTCACTAGTGACACTAATACAGTAATAATTGCTGTACACTGACAGTTTACTGAAGGCACTGGCTGGGCAGCAGGGGTGATCAAAGAGTTAATGGAGGAAGAATCAAAGGCCTACAGGTGCCTAAACAGTGTGTGCAAGTGTACGTGTTCTGTTTCATCTGTGATCCTGCTCTTTTCTCTTTCTGAACCAAAAAAGGATTCAGGAAGCGAAGAACAGAGAACATCCTGTGTCTATGTTTACAAACAAGTGGTTAGCTAAAGCTGATCAGCAGATCCCAGCCAAAAATCATTGGCTGGGACCTGCTGACAAACTTGTACTGTAGTCAATGACAGCACAAGCCAGCAGGAGGCACGAGCATTCGCTCCTGCAAACCTGGAGATCCCAGGCAATGTACCAGTATGTTGTTTGGCTGTGCTGCTCATCCACAGAAAAACTACTGGCAAAAGGCATAAAGTAGTTAAGTAGTGGATATATAGATTATTTTTGGTGAATGAGGATATAGTTTAGTATCACTTTATCTGGCATTATGTGCAGATGGAAGATCATCCCTCTGATCTGCAGATAAATGAAACTGAGTAGATACAAATGTAACACTGTTACTTTTTCATCTCACATCTGAACAGTTTTTATAAACAGTGTTACACAGTCTGTTTTTGACAGCATACCAATTTGATCTTTGACACATCCATATGCTTATTTGCAAAGTAAGTCAACAGAGACTGGGTATATCAGCAGCAGAGGATTTGGAGAAAACTTTCTGTGGCAAACTTTTACAGTACACACAGGCCTGGAAGGCACCAAAACATAGAGTCCAGTACCCCAAGGTCACATGTCAGGCTATCGTCACTCCATTTGTGAGCCTACTCATAGAATGAGTGTTCAGAGATTAGACTAGAGTCTGTGCAAAGGACCTGGATAGTAGCCTGCTGCAAACTAACACAATACAATAAGATCTAGAAAGTACCAAAAAACAGAGCCCAGTGCCCAAAAATCACATTGCTTGGTCAAGCAGGTTTTAGGTATTGCCTCAAAAGTTGTTGCTGATAATACACCAAATCGAATAGTTGTGAAGAGACCATCTTAAGTGGCTTATGTGAGGTCTTGTTTGAAATTACTGAAGAAATGTATTTACAGTGTAATAAATATCTTGACAGAAGAGAAAAAAATCTTAAATTATTGAAATATAACTAGATTTTTCCACAGTACAGCTAAGGAAAAGGCAACCATCCTCCTAGGACACTAGAATGACAGTTGGAGATGGAGTTGTATGGAGACTAGCTTAACCTCATGAAGGCTGCAGTATAACTCACATGTCCAAGACTTACTGCAATCATGTGTCCCCCTATAGACAATAAAAAATATATTATATACCATGGAAATATGTGTGTTGTAATGAATGTACAGTCTTACAGTATTGCCAATGATATGGCTGAGGTAATAACTGTTTGTTTGGCTCCATGGCAGTCTATCACATTCAACCTAAATGTGATCTTCCAGTGCTGGTTAATTTGTATTTTTTTTTTTCCTCTCAGCAACACAGACAGTTATTGTTGTCATTCAGTAAAAAATGATATACGAGGCACATTGTGTTTTTGATTTTAAAAACACCTCTAAAAAAATATTGATATTTAAGATTACCTCTCAATATGCTAATCAGAACTGAAAATAGAAACAGAATTTTCAGATGGATTTGCCTATTAGTAATTAGAATTCAGGAGTACAAACTATCTTAATCCTTGGTCATTATACAAAGATGAGCTTCCTTTGATTGCTCACTGAGAAAGAGATTACTGTCCTTTATTAACTCATACAGTATTACTTTGTTGCACCCAAAAATCTATAAAACATTTGGTAAGAAACCTTCTGTTTACATGGCTGCAGATGGCTGGAATAAATTGCTGGACTCAGTCAGCAACATCTCAATCTGTCTGGGTTTATATGCACTTGGATTTGTTCCCTGGGGTTACTGTGAAAATATATAGTTGAATGTAAATTTGCATTTATGGATACAGTTATGTGAACCTTGTATATACACACAGTATAAACTGAGTATGGTTGCCTACATTTGCATTTTTAATATAATGCTTTTGGTCCATTTAATTATTTGCTATTTTAATTTATCCAGTTAAACAACTTTGATCTTTTAAAAATGTAAAAATATTTGTATCCATATACAATATATAGAAGCAGTGTCGATAAATCTAATCACCTGTACTTACATCCTAAATGTATACAATATGAATTAAAATGACTGATAAAGCAGAACTTTGATGGAAGGTAATTATACAGAAAAACATGTCCTTTTAATATATATAATATTTATAAATTCTTTATAAAAAAAATAAAAGAGAAGATATCCATCACTGTTGTTGTATGGTTGCATAAATAGTAAGTAATTGGCCTCGAATGTTGATCCTTGCAGTATCTAATACAGACAGTTAATCTGCAAGTTGTTCACAAGCATAATGGCAGTAGGTCAAGTAATATGAAAAGATGTCATGGCAGGCAGAACAATACAATCTTAATGTGTTCTGCGGAACATATGTCCACTTCTTCAATAGCTAAGTGATGGCAATGTTATGTTATATTCATGCAACATGTGTTCCAACTCTGTTAAAAACTCAGGTTTGTCCGAATACAGAAAACCAACCAAATGCCAGACTGCAGTGTTAAACTGTAAGTGTACATTGAGGACTAATCTCTAATCCTTCTATATGGTGTGAATAGGGTAGACACTATAGGTGACATATATATCTTCCTAAACATGCAGGTACACCCAAAGTCCACCTGAAAACAAGCTTATAAGATCAGCAATTCCCAAAAATAATTGTTATGCCTTATCTGGTCAATCATGAAACCACTAGTCCTCATCAGTGTAGTGTAAGAGGTTTAAATAACCAATTCAATCAGACTTTGAAAAGACCAGTTTGCTTAGTGAACAGTAATGTGTCAAAATATTTTCGCATTTTCCAAAATACTTACTTTACCAATAAACTTTGAATAAATGGTACTTTCATGCTTCAGTGTGTTCAATTCAAGCTGGTCTATTTAGAGTGTCTAGCACTGGCTCTACATTTGTTGACAGTTTCTCTAAACTGGAGATCTACGTGAGACTATCTCTACAGGAAGAAGAAGATGGGATGTGCCCCTCCTCTGAATCATTTAGCTGACAAAGATGTCCTTTTATCATGCAGCAGTAAATGACCGCTGCTCAGTTCTCTGGCATTCTCAGAGGAAACAGTTCTCCTATGAATGCCTGTTCATGAAGCGGTGTAGATCGATTCTCCTAATGAGAAGAGAAGCAATCTACAACCGCTTTAAACTCTAGATAATGGCTGCTGTTACTGTAATCTCGTGAGATAACAGTAAGAGATCAGTCAAACACACAGCTAATGAGCTCCCCTGCCCACAGACGCTGGCCCAATGGTTGCGGAGAAGAGACCCTTGTCCCCATACTTTAAGCAATGAAAAATTACTGCCCCTTTAAAAACGGTACTTTTTGAAAATTTTTTTTCACTGATTCCCTCAGGGCAGTACCCGTGTCCCCATACCCCTTTTATGGCCACTAGCTTACATATAAATCTTCAAAATGGGCACTTTTAAATTTATAAGTTCGAGTCCCATAGACTTGCATTGAGTTTGAGGTTCGCAGTCGAACGTTCATTAAGTTCAACTGAACACGGGGGTGTTTGGCCCATCACTACTCAACACAACCACAAATACATACTCCTAACACATACCCACATTTGATCTTAAAGAAGTAAAATGCCACATAAAAATCCCTAAAACTCTGTACCTGGTGGAGTTATAGACAATTCAGCCATCCGAAAAAAGCTATACTTTAAGTGATTAGTGTGGATTTAGAGTATTCTATATCTTTTCCCTGGCAGCAACAGGACAAACATGCTGTAACCCGGATGGGTTGGATCACTATTAATAGCTTTTGCCTGCTGCTTCAATCGGCTGACATATGCTGTGTCCAAATTTGGTAGCTCCGTACCTTTGTTCAGCTGTGCTGTTTTCACCACAAGAGACAGACACTTCGTATCCTTCACCCTGCAGCGGGCATAACAGACAACAGCGCAGTGGAGAAGAACACTCTCAATGGTGCAGTGATAGAAATTGAACAAAAATCTTATGGACAATCCAGCTTGTTTCAAATTCCCACGAAAAAACAGTCCCTGCAGTGCTTTTTTTTACTATATGTATAATCCACCATTATTTCTTTAGTTTTTACAGTATTAAGTATTAAATCACTTTCTTTACACCACTCAACCAAATATTGAATTTCCTGCCTATAGGCTGTCTCGTCATTATCACGTATGAGTCCAACTACAGTAAAGTGGTGTCATCATCAAACTTCACTATAGTGTTTGACACATGTAAGGGTGTACAGTCATGTGTAAACAATGTAAACAGGGTCAGACTCAACACACATTAGGAGCTGCTAATGCT